CCCCAAAACCCCAAAACCCCAAAACCCCAAAACCCCAACCGACTATTTCAAGGTTGACAAATATCATAATTATAAAAAATGAACACCAATTGTTATAGGTAAGCTTTCTAATACTGAAAATGGGTATTTGACAAAAACTTAAGAAATAGCCCAAATTTGGAGTGGTATCACTGGAATTTTGACTGGAGTTTGATGGAATTTGGGTGGCTGAAGCTGAGGGGGTGGAAGGACTGAAGGGGTACATTTTCTCCAATTCTAACCCCTAAAACCTCCTTGAATCATAAAAACCTAGCTATTTCACTAACCCAAACACTAAATAATTCTATAGAAAAGACTCCGAAAGTGATGACCTCCCACTTCACCCCTTACTTGAGATGAGAGATCTCCACAAAAAGAGAAAGAAGAATAAGAACAGGAAATCGCTCCAGATCTCAGTAAGCTTCCTAGTCTATTTTTAAGAATCCAAAAGAAGTCAACTAAGTTGAGTTTTATTTGGTGAAATTTTAGTGTGAGGTTTATAAAACCTAGGTTAATAAGCATACTTATTTCTACAATATTTCTGAGCGATACAGAAGCTTATTAAAGTATAGAACAAATTCCAATCGTTCAGACGCTTAGACAGAGAAGGCTCATGAAAAAGGAGGTCTGTGAACAATCCAAACCAGGATGTAACTGTGACTCCGAACCTTCCAAAGCCACAGGTATTGGGAGAGAAGAGGTAGGCTAAGGTCGAAAATGTGTTTTTGAAGCTTTATCAACCCCTTTGGCTTACGTTACGATGCCTCTACTAGGTTTCTTTGGAGTGTAAAATTTTCAATATGTTTCTAAACTGTAAAACTTATATTTAACTAGGAACAACTCCAGCATAAAAGAGGTCAAAAGGACTCCCGAGGTAACAAGAAAGTCCCTGATGCCTAGTTTTGAATCAGGGTAATAAAAGCAGCCAAGGGAGAAGAAGTCTCTGAGTTTATGACTCTAACAGAAATAGCTTGAAAGCTGGATCATATAACTTTAGAGTAAAGGAAGTCAAAGAATCCAATTCTCCTAATCTAGATGCTCCTCTTAGCACTGCTGAAGATAGCAGGTTCCTATCAGTACAAGGATATACCATGAGAGATGCCAAAGGCTTTTTAATTAAGAGACGAAATAAGTCTGAGGCAGCCTCAATTTCACCAAAGATGAAATCAAAGGGCAGTTCAAAAAGGAAGGTTCTAATGAGCATCAAAATTAATCTAGTTGTCAAAGCCTTAGAGGCCTACACAAAATTAACCAACCCAGACGAAGAACTTATGGTCATAGCCAAGGGGTGTGTCAAGCAATCTTATTGCAAAGTGGAGCGTCTTATTTACAAAATACTCAAAAAGTTCGGACCTCAGCTTGAGATTGAAAAGAAACAAAAAGTTATCAGCGCTTTGAAATCCCCTGCAACAGATGCGAGTTCTTTTAGGACTCTAGCACCTGAGAGAAAGAAGAGGATACATAGACTTAACATGGGTGTATCAAGGAACAAGAATATTATTATGAACTCACCTATGACAAGGAAGCATAACCTCACAGTAGGAAACCCTGATCTACCTCATTCATGCCGAGGCAAAGGCAGCTTATTTGTTCTTGACAAGGGCAACAAGTTGAAGCTAAATATCCGTGCGAAGAAAGTCGTCCTCCCTCCCATCTCTGGGAGTAAGGAAAAAGGGCTTACTTCAAAGATCAAACAATTTCTTGGCATTCAGAAAAAGTAAGTTTGCATTAAGGAAAATTTCTAATATTTCTCTAGGAAAAAGAACTTCAAGTACATCATATTCAAGAGAAAGATTCATGAAAATTAATCATAATTTGTTATAAATTTTGATAAACTTAAGTAGCCTCAATAGTTCAAGAGTAGGACTGGATGAGTAGGGTACGAGAATTAGGTTATAGAGACTGGGAACAAATTTTGGACCTAGCAACTCCTTCATTAACAGCATTTGATATATTATTGTCACTGTTAGGAGTCCCTGAATTCACAAATTTTGTCAAATTCATTTAATAAAAGATCTGCATTCAACTTCTATAATTCTAAAAGGGGTTTTGGGGTTTTGGGGTTTTGGGGG